ACCAAGCCAAGGAAAATTCTACATTTTCTCATTATTGTGTGATTTCTGGCCTTTATTACTAAGCAGTGACTATTCCTAAACCTCTTAAGATTACCTGGTATCCTGGAGAAGTCATAACAGTATTTTGGAGATTCAGTGTCTTCTACACCTTTTAAAGGAGTTTTCACAACTGTTTTTGCTGGTCTTTCCCTTTCAGATTGCATAACGTAGCTCTTTTATAGTTTTAAATGTTTATTCAGTTTAATTTATACTCCATACATTTATCATTTATATCTATTTTTTTCATTGATATGGAAGTTCATACACTGCCAAAAAAGAGCGTCTGAAAAAAATAAGAATTTCCAACGTTCCTTTTTATTTTGTAATAGTGTATCAAAAAGTGCTAATATGTGTCTTTTAGTCATTGTTTTCTGAGTCTAAACATTTGGTTTTAATTCTTAGAGATCATGTTGCTACTTTAATACTGCAGCAACATGTTTGTCAGGTGTAGCTTGGAGTAAGTTCTTGTGGACTTGAGGACTTTGCAGTTTAGCAGCAGTTACCTGTGCAGCTTTCAGAAAATTTATACAGTACAGACCTCTCAGAAGTAGGTAGGTGGTGGAACACGGCCAATTGCCTGCAGTGAACTAGAACTGCTGGTAGCAATTGGTCTAAGGAGACATAGTGGCACATGAAGTGACATTGATCACATTACTACACATGTGCATGGGCAAAAAAAATCATTTTTCTTTCCTTTCATGTTCTTTTGGGGGTGACTCTCATTTTTGTGTTTTTCCCCATTCGTGTTTTCTGGTGGTACTAAAAATAAACCATTAAAAAACTTCAAAAACAACTTCAAAAAGCAGAGGCAAGACAATAGAGAATCAATCTATCTAAAAGCAGACTATACTACAACCATCCAATCACCACCACCAAATAAAACGGCCCCCAATCCATCAGAATATAAACTTCTAACAAAATAACAAAATATACACAGCAGATTAACCAAATACCATTTTTAAAAGATCACTCAAACAAGGAAAGCAGCCCCCCACACAGAGGGAAAAAAATAGCAAAATTTTAAAAAAACAAATAAACCCACAGCCCTCTCTCCTAAACAACAAGGACACAAGCAAATACAGGCAAAAACATATAATCAAATCTGCACCCCCACAAAAAGTGAAAGTACAGTGGTACCTTGACTTACGGCCATCCCGACTTACGACCATTTCGAGTTACGACCAGAAAAAAGGCAGGGGAAAAGGCAGGGAATTCAAATTGCTATTCATTGGTGGAGAAGAGGCTGCTTCTTCGTAGCTCTTTCGCCCCAGCGGATAGAGAGTGTGCATTCAGAGGAGGCTTCGAACTGCCTGGTAAGGTGCTGCTTTCTACTTTTTAAAAACTGGCCGTTATGGGTGGGTTATCCAGCATGGGTTTGGGTTGGGTGGTGGGGTGTGTTTCTGTGCAGTGATGGGTCTTACAGGGTTTGTTTGTTTTTTGGATTTTTCTTTTTTGCATTTCTAATGGATCTTGTAGTCTCCATACATTTATCATTTATATCTATTTTTTCATTGATGTGGAAGTTCATACACTGCCAAAAAAAGAGCATCTGAAAAAATACTGTTTTTGGGTTTTTCTTTTTGCATTTCTGATGCGTCTTGCAGCCTCTGTTTGGTTTTTCCTTTTCTTTTTTTGCATTTCCAATGGATCTTGCAGGGTTTGTTTGCTTTTCAGGGTTTTTTTTCCCCTTCGGCCAGAATGGATTAATCATGTTTCCGATGGGTCTTGTGGTCTTAGAGATCATGTTGCTACTTTAATACTACAGCAACATGTCTTGCGGTGTTTTTTGGTGTATTTTGGTGATTTTTTTTCATCGGCCGGAATGGATTAATTGCATTTCAGTGCATTCCTGTGGGAAACGGTGCTTCAAATTACAACCATTTTGAGTTACGACCATCATTCTAAAAGTCCATAAGTCAAGGCACCACTGTACACAAATGTAGGGAGATTTCTCATCCACTGTCACTTCATCCTTTCTCTTCGCTTCTTTGAGTGCAACAGGTAGCAGCAAGGAGGCAGCAAAAATAATCTGAGAAAGGGGAGGGATCTCAAAATAAATCATGAGGGGGGGTTGAAAAAATAATCTTAGGGAGGCACACTGACATACACAGGCTGCCTAGTGGCAGCAGCAAAACTAATGGAAATAAATGGAGGGCGGACTCAAGGAAAAGGGTAGAAAGGGATCCGAGATGAAGGACAGAAACAAGCAGGTAGGACAATCCATGATGGAGGCTACCAGGAGCTCACATACCCACAAGGAACTACCGACGCAAAGAAAGAGCACTCCTCAGTGGGTCCCAGTCAAATCCAATCCCTTTTACAGATTCAGAATCCCCCCCCCCCGGGGGGTTCTTTTTACCTGCTGACAGCAGCCCTCATGACACTATTAGATGGATATATTCCCATGTGATTTGATGGACAAAGGGCGAACAAAAGAATATGAAACTTTTGTGTACCCATCTTTTGTTTACATGCCTCATTCATCTTTTACAGGCTCTATTTCAGGAATCCATGAAATAAAATGTGGGGGAGGGAGCCTCTCTTGTGATTTTCCTTTTGTTAAAACATGAAAGTCCCATCCCTACCAACTACATACGTTTCGGCAGACCTTAGTTGTGCATATAAATAAGTGGGGAAAGGCTGCACATTTTCTCCTTTTTATTCTGCAGGACCAACGAGAAGGGAGCCTCTGAGGACACAAGCTTAAAATAATCTGTGAAGGGCAGTGTTCCTTCTAAGTCATGCGGTGTTGCGTCAGGGGTGTGCAGCTGAGCCAGTTTGCTTTTCTGGCCATGGCTGGAACCCTTCATACATGGGGTGGCGCCCCCGCCCAGCACTCCAGAAAACTAGAGGGAATGTTGGTCATGGGCCAATGTATTATAGATGGCATGCAGAAATTCCATTACAGTGGAATACAGTGGAATCCCTGTATCTGCTGGGGATTGGTACCATGGCCCCTCTGGTGGATACTGAAAACTGTGAATAATAGCTATGTAGTCATCACTAACAAGTATTAATAGGACAGTCTCTGGCTCCATCTGGTGGCCTGTTGTAGTGATGCAGGTAAAATAATTCCTTTCTGGATTTTTTTTCTTTGAATATTTTTACTATTTTCCAACCGTGGATACTGATCCTGTGGATGCAGGGGTCCTACTGTATGTCCTGGTGCAGTAAACCTTATTCTCATAAAGAGCCAAATAACTGAAAATGCACTCAGCTTTAGTGAAGAATAATAAAGGTATCCTGTAGGGCTGCTGCTTCTCTTTATCCTTATACTTCTGTTTCTCCTCCTCTTGATTTGTGTTCTCCAGAGTTTCTCCAAAGTTTCACTTCTGTTGGTTTTCACCTCCGTTGCCCAGATTGTCCATTTAAATCTCCTCCCTGTCATTCCTGAAAAGGGCCTGCTCTGCTCTTGACTTTGAAAAAAATTAAGCCTTGTTTTTCACAAGAACTCCCAGAAGCTCCCTTTCCAAACTTTGTTCTACTCTTTGGAGCCCTTGCACATTTCCCTTTGCTCATTCAAAAGAGCTAAAGGTGGTAGCAGCTTTCATATGGAAGAATTCTTACTTGCTTTTCAGGAATATACTTTTTAGGAAAGCAAGAAATTGAGGTGTAAAGTTACTTAATGGAAATAAATTAATAAAAATGTTTAGCTCCTTATAGGAAAAAGCTAAGCGATGAGGAGGAAACACAGATATTTCTCAGTGTATGTGACAAACAAGTCTATATTTTCTGCTGGTTATAGCAGCAGAAATTGTGGACTTGTTTGTCAGGTAACTTCTTTATCAAGAGCACTATTAATTCATTTTAATGACATCTTATGTCATTTGTGAAATTAGATTACAATCCTGATGGAATAGCACCTTTTAGCCCCTGCTGTTTTTGGACTGCCTGAGGGCTCAGAATGGGAGTACTGCTTTTCAAATTACATATACTTCCAGAATTTGTAGTTTATGCTTTTTCTGTGTAAACTATCCCAAGCGGATTTGCAGATCTAACTTATTAGACTTTAACGCCCTGGATAGTTTTGGAGAGCAAAAGGGGAGCTCTGTTTCTACAATGGCAAGATCCAACGTCTTATGGGTGTATGGAGGATAACTCTTCTTTCTGATACGTACAGGTATACACTTTTTCATTCATTTTGTTTGTACAGAATCTCCTGGCAGGGATATTGGTCCAACCTTGGGTTTGAAGAAGTCAAGTTCCCTAGAGAGTCTTCAAACAGCTGTTGCTGAAGTGAAAAAGAATGAGCTTCCTTTCTATCGTCCAAGGCCTCACATGGTCCGTGGCAGAGGATGCAATGAGAGCTTCAGGGCTGCCATTGATAAATCTTACGATGGACCTGAAGATGTTGCAGAAGGTACGTAATTCAGAACTTTTCCTGTCTTTTTAGCACAGAAATGTCTCTTTTCTGTGTGCTGAAAAGTTTACATCAGATGTGCCAGACGACACCTCCCCCCATCCCTACTCTACACAATCTTAGGCATGACGTTAGATGTTGTGATCCGGCACATTTGGAGGGCACCAGATTGGGAAAGGTTGGCTTATGCCCTTTCATTAAAAATTAAAAGTATGCGTCCTACCACCTATTGACCATGCTTTACATTGATGTTATGTCATGTGCCATTATATCACTTGTGACTTACGGTGATTCTTATGGTGAGTCCTTGAGGTATGTGAGATGTTCAGTAAGTGGTTTAACATTGCTCCCTTCTAGTGAGTTTCCATGGGGATTTGAACCCAGGTTTTCTGCGTCCTAGTCTGAACATGAACACAGAGACAGCACAGAAATGGCAGAGAGGTGGAACGGCTGCTCTCACTGGTTTTCCAGATGAAACAGAAGAAGGCCATTGACATTTGGGAACGGAGTTTTTATCTGAATTCTGGGGTTGATGTTCATCCCAATATCTCTTATCTCGGTGTGTGTGTGTGTGTGTGCGCGCGCGTGTGCGTGCGTGCGTGCGTGCGTGCGTGTGTGTGTGTGTGTGTGTGTGTGTGTGTGTGTGTGTGTGTGTGTGCTTTGAGGAGTTCCAATCCTGTAAATTGATGAGAAGCATCCAGGCGGCAGAACAGCCCTCTCACGTCCCTGCCATTTCTGTGCTGATTCTTTGTCAAACGGGAAGAAAAGCAGTGTGTCTGTGTGTTATGAGGATTCCCTGTGATTTGAAAAGGTGCGGGAAGGGCGAGCTGTGGTGCCTCTGGTACTAGGAAAGGGTGCTGGTAGTGGCTGAGCATGGATACGCTGCACCACCAATCCAAGAGGTCTGAAAATCTGCTGCCTGTGCATGCTCCTAGAATGCTTCTGTATTCCATTTGACAATATAGGTAACAAAATAGGCAGTTGTAAATTTGAAAGTTCAATTACGTTGTCTTATTTCTTTGGCTGAAATAACCTTTGACTCTGCATATCCCAAGAAAGAGGCAGTATATATATATTTTAAAAACTCATATAAGTTTTGACAAGTCTGGTATTGGCAAAGGTAGTGGTTTTCCACATCTAGAAAGTAAAGAATCCACAATGCGGCCATTCCTAATTCACAGCAGAGCCCTGTTGGAATTAGCTGGATATCTTTTATGGGATCTTTAATGCACATGACTCAGTGAAAGTGCATTATAGAACAACAGAAAGGGACATCACCTCTGGTTTTTTTAGATTTTTTTATATGTTTCATTGGCTGGTTTGTGTTTACTGATTTTTCTTTCTCCTTCTGCAGATGGTATGTCTGATAAGAGCTCTCTATCTGCTCAGGAAGCTCAGAACTTTGAATCAGCCTTACATATTAACTCTGAATTAGAAGATGTGGAAGGCAAGACAAAGAAACACAAGAAGACCAAAGAAAAAATGAAAATAAAAGACAAGAACAAGAAGAGCAAATCTAAAGTGAAAGAGAAAGACAAGAAAGAAGAAAATGAGGATCCAGAGAGAAAAACAAAGAAGAAAAGTTTGGGTGCCATGTTGAGGTAAAAGACCTTGAGAGAAAGGGAGGGGAAA